AACAGAGGGACAAATTGGGTTCTAAAAATTCTGAACTGGTTTAAAATTGAAATGAAATCATTCCAAACCGTAAATAACTATTGACAGTTTGATTTTCTCCGAACAAAATTGAATTGAAAAATAATTGATATGATTATGGATATCCACAAATATTTATACGTAGGATCGAACTAAATCGTCTTAGATTGTAGTTAACCAAAGAATCCAATTAAAACATTAGATGTGTCATGTTCATAGATATCATGTCAATCTTAATCCTAAATAATTAGAATAATTAAAATTGTAAGATTTAATTTTAGCAAAAGTTCAACAAATTAATATCTTGATGATTTTCTTGCTAAAGCAAACAAAACAAATTTAAAATGAAGACTTTCATTTTTCCTTGTATTTAATTAAGTTTCTTATTTATTAGATACTATATTTATTTGTTATGGTGAGTAATATATAGTATTATCTAGCAGATATTGTTTATGTTTGATAAATCTTTTTCTTTAATATTTATTCTATTTCTTGTAGCAGTGATTGCACACTTAAGGGAAATAGAAGTTGATTGTGATTAAAATATCTCGGTTTCAATATTAAGAAGATCGTGTTCAAGACTTGAAGAATCGTTACGTGAAGGGAATCAACTCCACATAGAAAGATGTTGATACATGACAATGTGAAAGTTCCTTACCATCGAGAAGTTTGTATATATGCATGCATGAAGATTCACAAAATGGATGCTACAGTTATCGAGTTTCATAATCAAGACATTCTCTGAGTGTTCGTGAGTTTTGAGTTGATTTGTGCTTTGTATAGTTTAGCAACAAGTCAATGTGCGTTCTTACATCACTGAAGAGATGTGTTTGTTCTTTATTCATAAACTCATTGAGTACATAGAAATTAAGTATTTTTGTAGTTAGAAGAGATCCAATAGCTATTTATTAAATCCACATTTGTGGCTAGGAATTAATTAGTAGAGTTGAGTATAGTGTCGGTAAGATTATGAAGGAGTACTTGTCTTGTAAGTCCAAGTTATACATTCCGCTCACAAACCAATCTATTAATGAAAGATATCTAAAGGGTAGTAAGACGCTCCCTGAAAGCAATTTTATTTATTCGTTGCTTCTGCTTTTAATTTATGTGTTTAAATTACATAATAACATATCAATTAAATTTTATACTTACTAACTTGACCTACATTTAATATATTTTTTTAAGAATATATTTAATAATAGGGAAAATTTCACTTTTGGTACTCCAGGTATACATGCTTTTCGGTTTTGATACCCCTGGTTTCAATTTAATCATTTCAGTCACTCAAGTATTCAAAATCCATCATTATTGTCCAAATCGTCAGTTAACCGTGAGTCAACTGACGGCCACCTTCTCTAGCCGGTTGCTTTCTCCAAAGAAACCTAAGAAATTGATTTCCCCTAATTTCTCCAATCGAGCAGACCTAATTGAAATGAAAAAAACCATTACATAACAATACTTCAAATTACACCAACCATAACTATTTAAATCTAGTTAAAACAGAATTTGATAAGGCACAACAATGAGAGAAGAATTATAGAAGGTCATAATTTTTTGATCTTATTGTTGCACACAACCAATGCATTGTTCATGTCATCCACCTTGTTCATTGCCACGAGCTTCCATTTCAGCATTCTTCAACTTGTATTGCTCAATTTTATATTGATGTTTATTTGATTTTTCCCGCAAACCAGATATAATATTTTTTGCTCTTTCGCAAATTTCCAGATCAAACCATATAAAAATTCGGCAAAAACCAAAGTTCTGCATTTTTTTTTACAAATGCTTATTATATTTACATCAGACAAATTAAAAACAAAAATTAAAACAAAAACAAAAATAAAATAATTAGTTACCTCATATTAGGGCATGCCCAATATCTTCTTCCCGGATTATTTCGGGTCCAAGATGTCTTCAAGTACATTTTTTCTCCACAATTACATGTCATCTCCCTTGGAACACCATTAATCTCGGAGTTCCAGCGAGAGTTACAGCTTCCTCGTGAACTGCTCATGGTGCAAAATTGCAAATACTTCAAATTCCTTTTTTTTTCCTCACTGTCGGCGGCTTTGTGGTGCTGTAATGGAGATGCCCGCCATTTTCTATCACTTGCAAAAGGAGACGACCTGCTAGAGAATGTGACCGTCAGTTGACTCACGGTCAACTGACGATTTGGGCAATAATGATGGATTTTGAATACTTGAGTGACTGAAATGATTAAATTGAAACCAGGGGTATCAAAACCGAAAAGCATGTATACCTGAGGTACCAAAAGTGAAATTTTTCCTTTAATAATACAATATATACTTCAAAAAAATCATCTATATTATGGGCAAGCCGGTTATGCCTAGGGGTGAGCATGGGTGCGGTTCGGTGCAACACCGCACCGAACCACAAAAAACCGAAAACCGAAATTGCAAAAATATATAAACCGAACCGCACCGATATAAGGAAAAAACCGAACTGAAACCGAACCGAAATTTTCGGTTTCGGTGCGGTTTTTTTTCGATTATCGACAAGAAATAATGTTGTGAGAAAGTAGAGTAGCAAGAATTGAGAATGGAAAAACTGAGAATCAAAAACATACAAAATAACATACCAAGTGATTCAAGTCATTCAACAACAAACAATGATACACTACAGAACGCACAAGATCTCAATTTTAATAACAAAATTGAATTTATTCTGAGAGGCAAGTCGTCGATCTCTCAGCTCGAAGCAAATCCCCGGCCGCCGACTGATGTTTATGCCGAATCCACCTTCTCCCTGTCCCTGTTTATCATATCCATTCCCTCGCCTTTGTTTTGCGGCCGGAGGGACTCAAACGGTGGCGCCACGAGAGATTTGAGGCAATTGTTGGGTACTTAATGAAATTTAAAACATAGGGTTTATTTTTCTCCGAGATCGAGAGCGAGAGAGACGCCAAAAAGACTGATTTGTGGAATTAAATTAATTAAAATTTGGAATGTGAAAGGTAGAAACTAGAAAGGTATCGGTTTAGGTTTATGAGAAGGGTAAAGGCGCATCAAATATCAATTGTGGAATGACAACTGCTGAAAAGACAACATATTTATTAATTTGAGATATACATGTGCGGTTCGGTTCGGTTCGATTCGATCAAAACCGACTCTCTTGGGAACAAAACCGAACCGCACCGCAACCTCCGCAGTTTTTCAGAAATCAAACCGCACCTAAACTGAAGTATCCCAAAAACCGCGCTTTCGCACCGAAACCGAAGTATCCCAAAAACCGCACCGATATCATCAGTTCGGCTCGGTTTTTCGGTTTCGGCTTGGTTTTTCGGTTTCGGCTCGGTTATGTTCACCCCTACTTATGCCCAAAAAGCTGTTACAATTGGGCTTATTTTTTTGCCAAACCAAATATTCAAAAAATGCCCAAGGAGTCATACTGCCGAAGATGCAGATCACCCTCTATAAGTGGACGACAATCCATATGTACACTGGGATGTCGATCCACGTCTATCCTTATTCCTTCTTCTCAAAGTTCCTCTGCTTGTTCCTGATAAAACGCCCAGCCAATACATCATCAAAATGCAAGATATTGCATGTGAATGCATGTCATTTACCCACGCCCTTAGCCGTCCTCTAAGTGATGATAACTTATGATAACTATTACTTTTTGTATGTATAATTTCGGCCTTTGAGACACATAAAAACAAGGACCAACTATTCTGCATAATAGACTTATTAGTTTCCTATGGACAACCTTGCTCTCTTCTTATGTAGGGTGCTAAATATCTTAGTCCATATATGCTCAAAATTAATTCCCATATTTATGAAACAACTTTTCTCCACCTTCATAATCTCCATAAAACCCAACTCGTTTAGTTTTGAAGTGAACAAACCATTTATGTTCAAATGCCAAAGCTTCTGATTTAACATGTTTAATGATAGTATTCTTAAGAGGGAAACAAAATCACAAAAGCAAAAAATGAGATAAAAAATTGTCGTCCCCTTTAAAGTCATGGTCAGATGAAAAATAAAATTTCCAAATTACGAGAAATTGCCCACATATATTGACCACGACAATCCATATTCTCCAGTGCTCCACGAGCCAATGCTCCAGGAAACCAGCCTTATGCCACGAGAGTGCTAGCAGTGGTTGACTCGCTGTTGAAAAAGAAGTATCGTCAACAATTTGGTAAATACGAGTCGAGTCAAGACAATACAAAAAAATAAAATAACAAAAGACTACTCCAAAGCTACACATTAGCCATTTTCAGCAAAATAGCAAAACTTTCAACCCGCTTACCACACTATTGTGTATATATAATTGTTTGTTTTTCTAGGTTTTTTCTAAGCAGGTAAGAGAACCACACAAAAGCAACACATAGTATCACAATTATTCAATTCGAGATCTTCAATATGGCGCTTACCACACTATTGTGTATAGATAATTGTTTGTTAGGTTTTTTTCTAAACAGGTAAGAGAACCACACAAAAGCAACAAATAGTATCACAATTAATCAATTCGTGATCTTCAATAGGACACAAGTAACAGTTGTAGGAACAACTAAAAAGATTATGTATAAACATCAAATTAATATATCAATTAACTTGAAATATACAATTCACTTTTTATTGAATAAAGTAGGGCCCAGTCTTTCGGTCCTACTTCAGTTTCCCAGATTTTACATCATCATATAACAGGGCAGCAAACAGTAATTATAAACAAACTATGTTGATTCGACGTTGGGTATAAAAGAAAAAATCCAAAAATAGCCACTCATTTCCTTCATTCCAATATTAAGAAAAAAAAAATAGAGAGATGTGAGGAAAAAAAATCTTATATATGATATTTAAGTGGTTGTGAAAATTGAGTCAACTCAGTAACTAGCCTACACTACAGAGATGCTCGCAGTTATAAAATGTCAACTAAGCTTCTCTTTGCATATCATCTGTCTACACCCCTAAGGTTATTAGTTTTCAAAGCAACATGTTTAGTTAATACAATAGTGCTGCCAGTCGGAACAAAAATAAAAAATAAAAAAATAATGTCAAGATTAGTTTTTGTCATCCCTGGACACACTCAAAAAAATGGATACCATCCACCACTATTGATTTTTTTTTTTTTCATTTATTATTTCACAATATCATACATTCCTCAATATCTATGATTCCGTTATAAATCAATATCATATATAAAACTAGAATATTCTGTTTTATTAATATATTTTCAAAAGACCATTCTGATTACAACATTCCAAAAGATGCTTTCAGAGTGAACTACAACCGAATACTGAATAAATCACCTGACACTATAGAAGAAATTCAAAAGAGAATANAGATCCTCCACCTAGAACTTATTTTCATTCATAGCCCATTTCACACCAACAGGCTGCAAATTCATGTTAAATGACATGTGCATTTCCCGTTCATTGCTTTCTTATTTAAAGATTGTAACTTCAGGAAAATCATAAACTCAAGTGACACAGAAAAATTAGTTATCTATGTACCGACTCCTAAATTTAGCACCATAGTGAAGTTCTAGAATAAGCACACTACGAACTAACACTAGTCTGGCCAAAACAACAGACTAAAACACAAAAAAAACTAAAGACTAAATTTCCACTCAACAAAATCAGCAGTTAATTAAAGAGCCATTAACCATAGATGGAAAAAAAAAATAGAAGAAGATAGAAGGAATTACTATTTCCAGACAGGAGGGAGCTTCTTGGTCTTCTTGTAGTAACGGGCGAGGCGATGAATCCTGCTCTCCACCAAAATCAACCTGAATTTGGAGTCCTTGTCCTTCCTGTTCCTCTCCAAGTGCTTCCTGATCGCAACTGCTTTCTTTATCAAGTGATACAAATCCTCTGGAATCTCCGGCGCCAGACCTGAATTGATTATTAATATTAACAACACTAATCACATTGCCGTCAACCTAAATAGGAGAAAAAATGTAGAAAATGGGAAAATACCGTGAGCCTTCAGAATGCGGAGGATCTTGCTTCCTGTAACGCTCTTCACCTGAGCAATACCATGAGAATCACGAAGAATCACGCCGATCTGTGAAGGCGTCAAACCCTTCTTCGCAAATTTGCAGATATTCTCCTCAACCTTGAACGTCGAGGAACAAAATATTGAGATGAGGAAAATGATCAAAATGTATGTAAATGTACTTAAAGATTTGGGAAAGAGAGAAGAATTACATCTTGAGAGGAGGTTTTGAGCCAAGTGGGGGGTGTCCTTTTGTAGGGAAGGGCTGAGGCTGAAATGCCCTTACTGATATAGAAAGCACAATTATGAGTCTAAAACTAAAGAGAAAATTCAAACTGGAAAATGTTGGGATAGAGTAGAAATCATACCCGCGGCTGTGCATACGACCCATGGCGGCGGCGGAGGAGGAGGTGGCGCAGCTCTGTGCGTATGAAGGCTCGGTTGCGGCTGAGAACGAAGGACTTTGGTTGTCCAGTAGGGTTTTTGATGTAGTGGCTGATTAACCAGGTTTATGGGCCGGCCCATAGTGAAGAAAATCCAATTACATCAATATCTTAGGCAAAAAGACATTGACAAAGTGTCTTTATTACAGAAAAAAACATGATTACCTTTTTTTTTTATTTAATTTGCACATTGACAAAGTTTTTTATTTTTAATTGTAATTACAAATTATCTAACTTTTACTGATTTAGTGTTTTTTTTTATCACTGATTTTGTTTTTTTGGTCTGTAACTCGTCTATAAATGATTTTATATATGATTTAATTTTGAATATCGTATTTTTGTAAAAATTTTAAAAACTAATAGTAAACATGTAAAATAGATCCATCTGCGTGAGATCAATGTTTGTCGATATAATAATTACAATTTTACTTTGGAATCAATAGTTAGTTCCACAATGGAGTCAACCTCCTATACATGACAAGTAAAAAATACCATATTGTCTAATTAGATAAAAGAAAATCAACAACTATTTCACAATTAAAATAACAACAATAAAAAAGTAAAAGCACTCTGTATTTTTTAATTTGAATTTGAAAAAAAAAAAAATATAAACGTTTGTAATATTATTTCAAATTATGGAAAATTTTCTTCGAATTCTTTTAGTTAAATATCGGAATTAATAATATTCTTTATTACATAATTATAACTTATATTACAATCGTTTTGTTGTATTTATTTTTTTCAAATGCAAATTAAAAAGTATAGGTGCTTTTACATTTTCATTGTTGCTATTTTTTTTTTATCAAGTAGTTGTTAATTGGTCTTTCTCTAATTAGATAATATTACTAAGTAATCGGTCTTAATGGACCATTCAGAAGTTCAATCAGCTCCCACCTCATAGTTTTGATTAACTTCTTAGAACGAAGCGGGACATTTCAAAGTGCACCTATACATATAGCTATTTAGACATACAAACTCGTCTCATTTGATAAATAGTGTTTTGGGAATAGGGGTTGCTGAATCTACCGAACTACCACTTTTGCTTTTACAAAATATTCAACGAAATTGAACAAAAAAAGGATCAGAATTGCTGATTTTATAATAATAGACTAATAGAGTGCATACATAACATACCAGTTCAAGGATATCAATGGTTTATGACAATTAATTGTCAGGGGGAACAAAACAACAAAGAAGAAAAAAGTCGATACACGAGAAATTTCTGGCGCACCAATAACTAGAGTTTGCGCAGCCCACTAATAAAACTCAGAATTCGATCCCTTTGTTAGAATCCCTGACCTGGCAGATATAAATCATAAGAGAACTATAAAGTTAAATTTAAGTTGGCTGGATGTTGAAATGATTTTGCGGATATACAAGAATGTCTTTAACTGTTTATTACATTGACCTCCACAAAATGAACTGCTAATTCAAGTACAAAATTATCAACCTATTATCAGGACTCCGGTGCAAGTCAGTTATACACACGACACACGTTTAATAACACTTCCGATAAGTTGTACATAGCCAACTAATACTACCAAAACACAATGTGTTCAAAATGTTCGAAACCAGAAAACCTTCAACTTGAGGACCATAATTGTGCATAAAGTTACAGACTAGAAATATCGGAATAGTAAAGGAATAAAGAAAAACACGGATTCTCACTTCAAGCAAACGAACAGCACAACCAGAAATTGGAAAACCTGCAGATAAAATCACAGGAAGTTATCCCCCAAACTTACGAAGGTACAATTACAATACAACACAAAGAGGATGGACGAAACCAGGATATGGACACAACTCAAATGAAAACAAGGCAATTCACTGATATACCAGTTACAAATATCACACCTTAACTTTTTAATAAGTCTACTTCGTTAAAGTAATTTCACATTACACATTAAAGAGAGGACTTAGCTGAAAGATGATAAGAAAATACATTTCCAAGGTGAAAGCCGCCTCTGTTCCCCACTTGGGGTACAAGTAGGGTTATGATGGGGTTGTCAACTCTAAATTTGATTTTGGATCTTATGTAGTCTCTGATTCTTCTTTACCTTTTCTATTCAGATTTAATTTTGAGTTTATATTATGGGGTTTCGTGCTGGAAGAATGCCTCAGGAGCATTGTTTTTGTTTTCAATTAGTCAAATCAAGATTCGTATGTAGGGTTATTTTTCGTAACTTCTAATCAAACAACAATGTAACTATCGAGGAAAACATAGTTTAATGTAGGCTACATATTTATTAACAAAAAGTCGGTCTATTGTAAATCTTCAATTAATCGTAAACTTTATATGACATATACATACACCTATTCTATTCTTAGATGGTACAGTGATCTTATAAGTAACATAATCCGTTGCAATCGATTCTTGTGCTGCAGAAACCAACTGACATGACCTAAACTAATATTTGCTTCAAAAATATATGAAAAAATATTGTAAGAAATCTCTCTTCCCCTTAAATCTCCCAAGTAAACAAAGAAAGAAGGCTATTTTCGTCTCTCTATGTTGCGCTCTACTTTTCTTTAGAAGTAATATGAGAACCTTTTCATCTTGTATCTCTTTAACATTTTACATAGTAAGTTTTTCACATTATCTCTATATGAAACTTAACATGCTAAGGAATAACCACACAGTAAGTTTGGCAACACCACATATTCCACTACAGTTCCATTGTTCAAATAANGCATGAATAGCTTCAGTGGGTGGTGTCCAGTGTGGCTAGAGTTAATAGAAAATGGGAAAGGATTGACATTTTCACTGTAGTGGTTGAAGGGAATAAGCAAAGGAGGTAATACAAAAATGAGTATCTTCTATAAAGGCAACATTACAACTCAACACAAGAGACAGATAGAAATGCAAATACAAAACTTCATAATTTGCAAGGTTTCTCCTGCAAGAACTAGTTGATTGTTCATACACCAGATTATGATTGCATAGAGCAAGACACTGAACAGAAAGCTACGTATTGAAGGAAAAGACTAAATAGTATGCATATGATTATAAGACATCTTCACAAATTGTGTTCCTATAATGTCTAGTAGACCCTGCGGAAATGATATAATGGAAAAACAATGGAACATAGCTTTTACAGATTTTTCTTTCAACCGCTACTTTAGGGTAGAGGCCAGATCAGTCAGGGTTTAGTATTTGAGATGCTTCTGAAAAAATCAATTATAGTTAAACATTGAGTGCAAAATTTCTGATTACACCAAACAGCCAGTTAAAAGTATTCCCCCAAGTTCTCTACATCGAGTTCATGATTATAAACTTAAGATTGCATTCCGGTCGACGAAAGTAACTACATGAGTTCCCTACCATTCATAAAAATTAAATAGAGGTTAATTATATAAGTCAGATGTCATTATATAATTGATTTCTAGTCATCAAAGCAAATTAGAGTCATTTTGAGAATTTCAAGTCTATATTGTTACAAGTGTGTTGCAACCCTTCACCAAATCTTCAAATCCCTACCATCCTTTCAAAATGCAGCATAAGCCTCCATAATAACTCACCAGCCCCCACTCATTAAATTCACATTTCTTATGCCTCCATATTAACTCACCAGCCCCCACTCATTAAATTCACATTTCTTTCAGAACTATGATTGGTTAGTCCTAGTAAGTACGGAAATGGCTTAATCATCCCATAAAGCAAACAAAGCAAAACAGAACGAAATAGAACCGGCACTATCATCAAAGCAACCCAAAAAAAAAAAAAATGCAATAATCAAATAGAATGATGGGAAAAACAATCTCAGATGCCATAAACATCACCTTCTCACTTGGCGACCATGCGCGCGATGAAATCCTCGTACCGGATCTTGCCATCGGACCCGACGTCCACCTCGCGGATCCACTCGTCAAACTCTGCCGGCTCCAGCTTCTCCCCGATGCTGGTGAGGATGTGCCTAAGATCCGATACCACGACGTAGCCGGTGCCATCCTTGTCGAGCACCTTGAACGCGTCGCGCAGCTGGCGATCGAACGGCTCCGGCTTGAGGTGCTTGGACATCAGATCGAGGAACCGCTGAAAATCGAACGGCGCGCTGAGCTTCTCCTCGGTGATTATGGACTTCAGCTGGGCCTGGGTAGGGTTTCCGCCGAGAGAACGCATCAGGATCCCGAGCTCCGACGGAGCAATCTTGCCGTCGCCGTCGGTGTCGAACAGGGTGAAGGCCTCCTTCATCGATGAAATCTGATCGTCGCTCAGATCTTTCCCCATTTCCTGCAATTTTCCTTTTATCTTTTTCCTTCTCTTTTCTCCCGAGTTTGTGATTTCTCAATTTTTCTTTTTCTGTGTGTCTCTGAAAAATGTTTTCTGTTCTTTGAATTTGTTTGAAACGAGGGAGCAGAACGTAAATAATGGGAGTCAGAGGACTGCTTTATGAATATCCGGATAAAAGTGGAAGTGATATGTTAGCCTGGTGGCCATAAGCCCAGTAGTTATACTAAGCCCAATAAGAGGAGCGGGCCGTGAACTTGGATATGAGATCTATTTTGTGGCGAGCTTTTAGGCATATCATATGTGCATCAATGATCTAGAATAAAAGGAGTTAATTAATTTTGCAGCAAAATTTAATATAATTTTTTATACAAAAATAATTAAAAAAATATTTGTTGATATAAAGTGACGGCATATACGAAATTATAAATTATTATATATTATTTTATATGTATATCATTCTTAATTTTACTTAGAATTGTTAAATGAAACAAGTCGCTCATGAGTTTGTTGTGGTTCAAGCTCATTTAATTATCGATTTGAGTTCGACTCGCTCGTTCAGGCTCGCTACGCATGATAAATAGGAGTTTCTATGTAGTTTTCATTACTTTTATCATACATCGAATCGTTAAGGTTCAGCAAGCCGAGCTCGTTTGTGGGCTCTTTAATTTAACAAGTCGAATGTCACTAGGCTCAATAAGTAATCCAATCTGAGCTCGAACTCAACTTGACTTGTTTACGACTCAAACATTATTACAATAGTATATACATGTTTTTTCCTTCTTCTTTTTTTGTCCTATTCTCTCTTTCAATATTTGATGACTTGATTAAAGTGGAATAAAGCTATAGATGAGAAAGAACCTTTCTCTTCTCTTGGCAAGAGGAAATGGGCAAAAGGTTATTTTATGTGGAAAGAAACTTGGAGGCCATCTAATTTCATTTTCATTTTGGCCCACACTTAATCAAAATATTTTAACTTGTTTGTATTCCAAATACTGCATTGACTTTTCAGTTGATTCTTTTATTATTAGAACTTCTGAGTTCTGAGTGATGAATGCAGTATACATGTGCAGCTGTGCTCAATAGGGGCATATAAAAATGGAATCTAGCAGTTGACTAATAGGAAAAACATGGATGTCTTTCGGATTGGAACCCCTTCCGATTCTCATTTTCCAAATTTCTTCTCAACTAATAATGCAGAAAGGGAAACAGAAAATGCATATGAGAAATAGAGCGCATAGTAAAAAAATGGACCGAAAATGAACTAAAAAGGTAAAGTTTTGTTAAAAAATGGCTTTTAATCATGATTCTTGTCTCTAGTACTTAAAACATGACTTTGTAGTTATTTTTTTATTTTTCAAATCAAGCAGTCTAACAAAAATATTTATAATTTTCTTTTATTACCAACGAGTCGCATATAGAGATGCAAATGTTCTAATAACTTCAAATTTACCTCAGTAAATTTTCTAACCAAAGAAGAAAAGTAAAGTTAACCATTTGAATCGACGAGTAAAAATGCTCTTGAATACCTTAGCATGTGAATTGAATTTGTCTTGGGAAGTAGCTAGCAAATGGGACATTGAGGGACCTTTATCGTTAAAGAAATAAAAAAAAAAGGACTTGTCACATTCCATATTCTCTGCAAAATTCCTCACCATATAAAATTTCATGGTTTTTTCTTTTTATCTTAGTGACCTTTCTCATATTCTGAAGTTCAAAATCTTTCTCATTCACAACAAAAATGATGGGAGGGCAATACCAGTCGTTAAAGGATAGCCTTTTAGTGATTAGGATAATAGAAACAGAATAAAGTTACATATGCTTTTTTTTTTTTTATAAAGTACAGGCAAAAATCTAAATAGATAAAATTAGATATGTGTTTGTTGTTTTTTTCCACCAGCTCACCAGGTAATTTGAAGGCGGAATCTTGTGAGCTATGGACCACGGTACCATCAGAGATTTTTGAATTTTGAAAATTGATCGTAAGTCCAAACTCTAGACAAGTACAGATGCCCTTTCTTTTTTACATTTTTCCAGAGTCACTTACAAAAAGTTGTCAATTTTGTGAAAGCCAGTTAGAAAATCCACCAAAGAGGTGGATCACCACCAGGTGACAGATGACCCTGCGAATTGTATAAATTTATAAAGAACAAATTACACTTCTCCTCTAAGTTTTAGGATATGCTCGAGTATCCACCAAATTTTGATTATATCTCTCACAAATTCGAGAAGAAGATCTTCTTTCATGAGGAATGTTATGGAGCCAACAACTAATGTTAGAGTGCCACGTAGGCCATGTAGAGTTAATTATTTTTTCAAATGACCTACGTGGCACTATAACATTGGTGGTTGGCTCCATAAAAGAGCCAACCATTGGCTCCATAGCATTTCTCCTTCTTTCATTATACAAAATGAATCTTCTTTCTTTAAGAAGTCTTGAGTTGAATTATTTCATCCTTACTCCCATATTACTGAAACTGAGCTTATTGTCAAATGGACAATTTCGACTCCTTATCGAGCCAAACTAACTGACAATAGCCTATTATATTTTTATTCGCATAAAAACGAAATTGTGTAAATTGAAAGCAGTAACGAGAAATAATTCGCTATAGAAACTTATATATAATTAAATAAACAAAATAAAAGCAGCACTTGCACAAGAATGTAACCTCGAATGGATCACACGGAGGGATAGCCATGTCTAAAAGCAGATTTGACGGTAAATTCCAACTCTTGAAGGAACAAATACCCATTAAAGGTGATTCTTTTCTTTGATTGTGGTGAAAAGTTAAATGGAAAAAAGACGGATTCTTACTTTTATCTGAATAAATATAGTACACAATAATTAATTCTCCTCTTTTAATTAACATCAATTTTACTATGAAGCTAACAATTGATTTCATAGCGGAGCCAACCTTCTATTAACATATAAAAACTGGTAAGACAAAGTTAGCCTAAATTAAGAAACCTATTTGTACCTTACAATTATTACCTTCGTTCTTTCTTAATAATAATATAATATAAAGAGTAATTTTAAAGTCCTTTTCGAACCGGTAAAAATTAATATATTTTTGTTCAAAATAAATATGCTCACGTACTTTTAATCAAAACTATTCTTGAATCTTTTTTTGTTTTTTTGTTTATCTAATGGCAAACAAATTAGCTCCTTTTACTTGTAATAACACTTTCATCTTTTAGTTGTACTGAACTACTTATGATGATTTCGCTATATGAGTGAAAGATATAGTAGCTTTTGGCTTATATATATGAGCAATGAAAGCTGCATTTTTGTGTTAGAAAACAAAAATGAATGATACTCATATTGACATTTTTCTGGCCATATTGACATTTATATTATTGCATGGCCGTAATTTATATTTTGAGCTTATGTTTTGTTCTTTTAATAATTAGAGTGAAATTGATTTTTTGCCTAAATTAAAATATCATAAGTATAATTTAATAAGAAAATAAAAATAAAATGCAAAACTCGTTATAATTTACCTGTAAGGTTTATAAAAAATCAAATAAATAAAAGGAGATTTTTTTTTTTTGTAGTCAACCACAATATTCGGAGCTATACTCCAACTAATAAAAAGAGATTATTGGCTCAAAATGTTCAATCCTTTCTTGTTTTATTTTCACAATTGTGTTTCCCTATATGCTTGGGGTTGTGTTAAATATTAGGATTATGTCTGCATGCATGTTGGCAGGTTGTTACATAGAATTGGGATATGAATTTAGATAGAACACGACCCAATTGAAATAATTAGTTTATGCTCACCAAGTCCCACATTGTAGAGCTCTATGTGATTTTCTCTTTTCCTTTTATTTTTATTTTTTTGGAAAACTTCACGCACCCTAGTCTCCATGTCTGATATGTTTGACTAGAACAAAATGAACACGAATAATAATTTCTTTAATTAATTATTATTGCTCTTATATATAATTTTCGAATATACTGAATCTAATAGCAGACTCACACGTTTCGGGATTCTATGTAACATATTTTTATATTTTGTCATTTGACTTGGATATGTTAATATACTTCCAATCTAAAAATAAATAGATGATCTTTTTTGAGGGAATTGATTATTTTTTAATATCATTTCCTATTCTAGAAGTAATTTATAAGACATATTTTATGCCCCAATCTTTATTTTCTCATCATCTTTCTTTTATATTTATAAAAAAAATAGTAACTTAAGTTATAAATGTAATTAAAATTTATTAAATCTTTTATTTATTATCAATTTTTCATATATAATATATAAAATTAATCATGTATTTATGAGCTTCGATTATACATCTAAATTGTATATACAAAACAAATAAATAAATATATTTATTTTATAATAAAAATTAAATCACCAATTAATACTATTTGGAAAAATTAAAATTATTTTAAGCTAATTTAAATGCAAAGTAGTTATAGGGTATAAACTAAAAAAAATATATAATATAAGATGGTAAATCGTATAAGTTACGAGTGTTATTTTAATATAAATAATAATAATATAATTTTTCAAAATGTATTTGAAAACTATAAGAGTTTTTTCTTATTTTTTAATTTTAAATATAAATTTACTTACAAGTACACATATAATACATGGATGTTGTACTAGTAAAATTTTAAAAGTGAATCACAAAACACATACTTTAAATTGATTATGAACCGTAACTTCCTTCAAAATGAGAAAATATTCTTTTAGGGTACACAATTTTTTTCTAAAAAAATTGCCTCGTTCGATAATATAGATGAAAGAAAAAGTTACTTTAAAAAAAAAACTACTATTTATTCCATCACTTTTTCTTTGTAATTCCAGTAGCACAATAAAAATATAAATGTCGATCAGTATTACACATT